GGATCAGAGAACATGAGAATGAGATGAGAATATTATCCACAGTGAACAAGGGGTTATTTCACAGGCTGCTATCTCTTAGGGTTGGTGTTCACAAATGGGGTTGTTGAATGGGGTTTGTGGTGTTGAGATGATGATGATGATGCTTTTTATTTGCTATGTGCGCAAATATAAGTACATTGAGATACTTTTTTCATGTCCTATCTTGCTCGCCTTTGAGAAACACACATGCTTTGGGTCCGAGCACAGGGTCAGGTCATTTATCCGGTGTCTCTGGCATCGTGTGTTTTGCCTGTGTGTGGTGATGTGATCCTTAAGGTGGGTCCCATGCATACCCTGGGGTCAAAATTGACCCCAAAGGCACATGTCAGGTGACTTTTCTCATAGTAGCGTAATTCTTGCAGGAGCGTGTGAGAGTTAAGAAGTCGTATGAGGTTCGAACTGACCAGATATGGCAGACCTTCTGCAGTACAGATTTGGTTTAACTAGATGAGAACAGAGGCCAACTTGAGACTCGCTCCACCGTAAATGACGTCTCTGCCAAACACCAAGCGTTCAGCTTCTCGGTCCTTGGTTGGCCTGTGACTTTGATAAAGTTGTGGTGAACGCGGCGCAAACGCAGGGGGCGTCGGAATTATTGGGTCATTCCAGGGTTTCTTGGCCAATATAGCTGTATACCTGGGTGCTGTTGATTTGGTCTGATTTTGGGTTCCATTCCCCGGGTGGGAGGTGTTGAATAATCCCCAGGTTTGATGGAGCTCTTATGGTTTGATTTTGTTCTTGGTTTCCTTTGCTGGAAATTGACCATGGCCACCAGTCCGCATCCAGGTTCCTTCTCTGTAGGGCTCCTCGTGTAACTATGGCTCCATCTTCTCCCTCTGTACCATCACCGGTGCCCGGTTCCCCCCTCCTAGTACAGCGACTTCACCTCCCACATCTTCGGCTGCCCCGTGAGCCCCACAGGCTCACCAGCGAGTCTGTCAGCCACATGACGCTTATTCCTGGCTGGGCCGCTTTGCCCTGCCTAGCCTCCAGCTGTCGTGGTGCAGTCGCCTTTCATTCGCTTTTACCTGCACGCCGAACATCTGGCCTGACGAGGGGAGGGGGCGGGCTCTTTCACACAGGCCTGACCTCGTCGACCTCATTTCCCCTCCTCGAATCTGCCCATCATATCCCTGACAATGGGCCCCTCCCTTTTTTTTTTCTAGGTCTTGATTTATGTCTTTTTTTTATGACCCTTAAATGTAATAGGCTGCCCCCCGCAAAGTCCTTCTGTTGGACTTCCCTTAAAACATGAACGTAAACATAAGTTCAAGGCAGATAATTGTTATAATAGGTGCTTTTTGTGACATCATAGGCTTGTTCAGGTGTGACGGAAACCTGGAGCGACGGATGTGACCAGTGTTACAGCTTTTAGCCACCGGAGAGACTTTTCTAGAAAGATGAGGCATTTTAGCATTGGTTGCTGTTGACTGTCCATGTATTTTCACCAAAAAGACATTCTCTTGTTTTGTGGTCATTATCCTCTGACTCTCCTTTTTCTCTTTTCCTCTTCCTCTCCATAAAACTGTCACACAGCTCTGTCGAAATACCTTAATTCCCTCGGCTCTCTTCCCTGACAGCCATCTCTCTCTCTGCCTCCTGTTCTGCCTCTTACATCCCCTCTTCATTTCTCTTTACCGCTCCTTTTCCCTCCTTTGTCCGTCTCACACAAGCCACAGAACAGAACCGCAGATGCCCATCCTGACTCTCACTTGCCCTGAAAATCGAGACTGACCACGGCAAACATTAATTAAACGGCTGTTGGTTTAGCAGTGTGCATCCTGGGCCCCTGTAAAAGCCTCGCGGTCGCTATTTACCATCATTCAGTTACGGCACGTTTATCACGGGGGTATAAAGTGCTCCGGCGCTTAGGGTCGTCCAGCCTCCTGCCTGTCATCGTTTTCTCCATCCCGCTCACCTCATCTTCTGTGGTCGAATTTGTGCACCATTCACACTATTTTTAAATGATGTCATAGACCCCACAGGGTCTAAACTGAACTCGCTAATAAACAGTTATATGCAAGTTGGACTTTGGTGGTGGGGGGCTAATACTGACTGAGTGAGATGTATTTCCAAGTGCATATTTGCTACAACCTCGAGCTCCCCACTCCCGTTAAAACTAACAGTAGTGTATGTACATTGTTTCAATATGTAGGGATGGAGAGCATTCTGTTGACTGTACTAGTCCTTAGAAAATCATAAGAGGTGCAATACAGCTTGATGTGACTCTTGTATAACTCAATCATCCCAGCACAATAGTCGCATCTCCTTTGAGCCCTTGAGCAAAGCCCATACCCTCCCCTGTGTGGAGCAAAAGCTAGCCTGTCTGGTCTGATCCCACAGGAGAACTACTGTAGCACAAAAGGTGCTGGCCCTGGCCCTGGCCCTGGTAGAAAGGTGTCAGAACACACAGTGCATTGCAGCTTGCATTGCAGCTTGTGGCATATAGGGCTGCATAGCGGCATACCGATCGGAACACCCATGCTGACCCCTGTCCACCGTCGAAAGCACCTACAATGGGCATGTGTGTGTCAGAACTGGAGCATTGGAATGATGTAGTCCGATCTGATCTGATGAGGCGCATTCTTATGTTACTGTCTGTGCATGGCTGGGTGCATGTTTCTTGTTTACCTGGGGAAGAGATGGCACCCGGATGCACTGTGGGAAGAAGGCAAGCCTGCAGAAGCAGTGTGATTCTCTGGCCAACGCTCTGCTGGGAAACGTTGGGTCCTGCCATCCATGTGGATGTTACTTACCGACACCTACCTAAGCATTGTTACACACCAAGTGCACCTCTTCATGGCAGTGGTCTTCCCCGATGGCAGTGGTCTTCCCCGATGGCAGTGGTCTATTTCACCCTGCCACCCTGCGAAAACTGTCCAGCAATGGTTTGAAAAACATGAGAAACAGTTCAAGGTGTTCATTTGGCCGCCAGATTCCCTAGGTTCTCAAATCAGTTCAAGTCCAACCATGGAGGCGCCAGCGTGCAACTTTAAGGACTTAAAGGATCTGCTGCTAATGTCTCGGTGCCAGATACCACAGGACACCTTCAGAGAAAATGGCCCCACGGGTCAGAGCTGTTTTGGCGGCGCAAGGGGGATTTACACATTAGGCAGGTGGTTTTAATGTGTTGACTGACTGGTTTGCGAATGAGTATATGTGTCAAGAGAGAGCAAGATGGGATATGCAAAAGAAGCATAGTGTGTACATAGAGTATACTCATACTTGGGCAAATGGCAAATAAAGCATCATGAATGATAAAATATGAAATGATGCTTTATTTGTGGTGTGCACAAATACAGATACTGGAAGGCTTCTTTTCTCGTATCCCATCCTGTTTTCCTTTGAGACATACACACTCGCATTTATATAGTTGAGAGTGAAACTTGAGGTCAGGGTCTTTACCTGGCAACCCTGGAGCATTTTAGGGGGATAAGGCCTTGCTCAAGGGCCTACCGATCAAAGGCATGGAGGCCTAACTCGCTCAGCCTGATCGCCCCCTGTGTGTTGAGCGTTGCGATAAATGGAATTGCACGAAAGTCAGAATGTCGACCTTCCACCTTTAGGCTGAGTTCAGATGTAGTTTGTGTTTTCAGGTTTAGTATGGGGTACGCGACCCCATGTGAGAATGGCGCGTTATGTTGGCAGAGGGTAGGTTGGCAGATAGGGGCAGTGACCTGGTTCCTGAAGGCTGCTGATTCAGACACAGGAAGAGCCCGGCTGTACTGCCGTTGTCGCTTTAGATTAAAAAATAAAAATTAAAAAAACGTCAGCAAAGCAAATAAACACATTACAAAAGGCAGCACAAATTTAAAGTTAAGGAAAAAAAACGACCTGGTTGCATTTTATTTGCCTAAGCAGCGGTCACACCTTGTCTTTTTCTACCAGGTGGAACGGTGAGTCAAGGTTTTGCGGCGTTAATCAGCAGTTAATCTGAGCGAGCCCAGCACGAGCCGGATGCACGTTTGCCCACGTGTCCCATTTTCAGTTGAATAAATGCTCCATTCCATTAGTCGAATTTTGTTTCAGCTCGACCGCTTCGTCATTGCAGTGATTTACATTTGCGGCTCTCTGGGGCTTTTACTGATTTTAAATAATGACTTCTTACTCAACATATAGCTGCATCCCGAAGCAGATTGCAAGATTCACACCCATTCTCTTCATCCGAACGTGTCACTCAGTGTATAAATCACAAGTCTTAAATCCACGGTCTTAAACCTACAACCTTTGGGCTTTATGTTCTGTACCCCAATAACTTATCTGCTTTCTTTGGGACAGTGGTCTATAGCAAAAAAACCTGATTATCCTGCAAGAGTCCATAGATGCGTACTTGACCCGACGATTTCTTTCACTGTTTGCCAGCCTTTTTTTCCCTTCAACCAGATGCTGTTTGACAGGATAACCATACACTGCGTCTTAGGCAGTCTTTGGGCTTTGTGTTGGGGTTTTGTTTCTTGGAAGAGAAAATCTAATCTGATTTTCCCACAGAAACACTGTTCAACCGTTTAGGTACTCTTTGGATAAAGCTCCTGAATTAATATTTTAACTTTACTCCACTATGCTTAATCAATAATTGAATGAACTGCTAGTAGAATAAAATGTTTTAAACTATGAATTGAGTTTGACGGATCGATATGGCTAAGTAATTACGCAGTTGTATTTGACAGTGTCATATATAGCATTCAGTAAAACGGCCTTAATTCTTTTGGTTACTTGAGTCGGCTTATGTTCTTAGTCTTGTAGCCAGATAATAAATAGTTAACCATTGTATTTTGGAGAGTATTTAGAGGTTGGATTAGCTGTGTCTTCATACAGCTGACAGACCTTGAATCAGCACTGCTGGATTTGAGTTAAAGCATTAGCCAATCAAGTAAAAATGTACGTAACCAAGCAAAAATAACGGAGCGTGACTGCTCGCATGGCGCGGAAAAGAACTGCACAACTCGCTCTGTGTTTTACAGGTGGCCATCAAGATAGTAGACAAAACCCAGCTGGATGACGAGAACCTGAAGAAGATCTTCAGAGAGGTTCAGATCATGAAGATGTTGAGGCACCCACATATCATCCGACTGTACCAGGTGGGGGCTCTCCTTGGTCTTCTTGTCACTCTGTTTTGCGGCCCCTCGATCCGTCCGTTTTTTCTTCACCGTCAGCCTGTCTCTCCTTTTCGGTGCATCAGTCGTCCTGTCACTTTCTGTCCTTTTCTTTCCCTTCTTTTTTCCTCTCCTCCAAAGCACAAACTTCCTTAATACTCTGTAGTCTTGACCTGGATTATCTTCATGGAAATATGCTATGGAATTATTATTATGCGGTTTTGATGAAAATCATGCCTGACTGTAGCTGCTGTCATCAACAATGGCAATACAGCCGTGACAGTCTGCTGGTCACGGTGTGTTTAAAGGGTTAAATCAGTGTTTCTCACACCAGTCCCAACACACCTGAAGCAAACAATGAAGAACACCGAATTCCTGGTTCAGGCGCGCTGGGAGGGAGCAAAAATATGAATCGTTAGGGGGCCCTGAGGACTGGGGTGAGAAACACTGGATTAAATAAGTGATATACTGGTCTCACTGGGGCATTTTATCAGTCAAGTCTGGCAGTAACTGGCAGTTTTAATTTCATGTATGAATCGTGCGTATTAGTTGCTCGGAGTCTGCAGATCCCAGTCCCTTGCATGACTGGGCCTGTGTCTCACGGTAACCCTGTCGCATCACAGGTGATGGAGACAGAGAGGATCATCTACCTGGTGACGGAGTACGCCAGCGGGGGGGAGATCTTCGGTAAGCCAGCTTCTCGTTGAGTATATAAGGCCCAGAAAACACGTTCCTCCATATGCAACTAAATAATTCGAATCCGAATGGATTTGGCCGCTTGCACATTTTTGACGTTTGGTCTCCAACCGGCCCCCCCCCCAGATCACCTGGTGGCCCACGGGCGCATGGCGGAGAAGGATGCGCGGCGGAAGTTCAAGCAGATCGTGGCAGCCGTCCACTTCTGCCACTGTCGCAACATCGTACACAGAGACCTCAAGGCTGAGAACCTGCTGCTGGACCACAACCTTAACATCAAGATCGCAGGTGTGTGGGGAGGGCTGAGGGGAGCAAGCAGGGGGGGTAGCGGACGCAGCCCTGCCAGCCTTAACCTATCTGCCCTCTCCCCCCTCGAAATAACAGTATTATTAAGGAGATCCCTGGTGAAACCAGCCACGAACAGGCTAGTTTTTAGTATTGTGTAATAGTCTCATTTCTCCTTCTGAGTTAAAGGGGATGTTCTCAGTGGCCAGGCTGCCTCACCGGCTGCTGAATAGCGAGAGAAGCTGAATAAACATCTGCAGACACCTTTTCTGACGCTGCTCCATCCCCATTCTCCTCTCCTCCCTTTGTTCTACCTCTCCCGTCCTTCTTTCTGATTCCCCCTCTCTCATTTCCTTGTTTTTTCCCCCCATTCCCCCCTTTGCCCCATTTCTTTTCTTGCTTCCTCCTTTTCCTCTTTCCCCCTTTTCTTTCTCTTTTCTCCATTTCTCATTTCGCCCTTTGCTCCTGCCCTTTCCTCTCTTTATTACCCCCCATTTTTCTCAACCTTTGTTCCCTTTCTTTTTCCATTTTCCCCCGTCTTCCCATTTTTCATCCCTCACTCCATCTTTATTACCCCCTCCCCCCTTGTTCCCACCCTTTTCCCATTTCCCCTTTTTCCAATTCCCTCCCTTCTGTTCTCCTTGCTTCCCATTGGTCAGATTTCGGTTTCAGCAACATGTTCACGCGGGGCCAGCTGCTGAAGACGTGGTGTGGCAGCCCTCCATACGCTGCACCGGAGCTCTTCGAGGGCAAGGAGTACGACGGTCCCAAGGTGGACATCTGGGTGAGTGAGACAGCGGGGCCCCGATCCACCCAGCCCCTAGGCAGAGCACCGGCCTCCGGCCCCCCCCCTCACTCAGTCTCCCCCCTCTCCACAGAGCTTGGGCGTGGTCCTCTACGTGCTGGTCTGTGGAGCCCTGCCCTTCGATGGCAGCACCCTGCAGAACCTGAGGGCCCGAGTTCTGAGCGGGAAGTTCCGCATCCCCTTCTTCATGTCCACGGGTGAGCCCCCGCTGGCCCGGCCCCCGCTGGCCCGGCCCCCGCTGGACTTGTGCAGGCTGCTGAGGCCCATCAATAGTGTGACATCACTTAGAGCAATATGGTCACATGATTAGCTCCTCTGTCATTTACTGCTACAATGTTGCCACGCTTAATTCTCCAGGGCAGGTTATTGTTGTTATAAATTTTTTATTCTTGCCACAGGCATTGTTTATTTTTTAAACAATGCCTGTGGCATGTGTGCCTGTCTGTGATCAGCAGGTTGCTGGTTCAAATCCTGGGGCTGGCATTATGATGTCACCTTCAGGCCCTCGAGCAAGGCCTTTAACTGTAACTGGTCCAGAGAGATTGTCGTCTCTCCTCTCTGACCCAACTTGTATGTTGCTTTGGACAAAGATCATCAGCTAAATAAGTAAATGTAAATGTAAGCTGTTCACTTTGTAAAATTAGCTACATTTCAATCATGAACAATCACCTATTTCTGAGAACAATACGTAAATTGCCAGAAGATTTCTTTGCCAGTTTGGAGTGCCTTTTAAACCTCTAAGGAAATGAATAGTTTGCTTTATAGCAGATAGACCAGGAATCAGGAAGTGATCGATTTTATGTGACAGGTACAAGGGAAAACAATGAGATGACTGTGACTCGCCACTGTACTTTAGTGGGTCAGTTTGCTTCAGCTGTAAAGGAGCTAGAACAGTGTTTCCCAGTCTGGTCGTCAGGCACCCAAAGGCAGCCCACACTTTTGGTCCTCTCGGCTCCCCGGAGCAAAAATGTGTGGCAGGGAGCTGGGAGGGAGCAAAAACGTGGACCGTCTGTGGGTCCCTGAGGACTGAGCTGGGAAACACTTCTATAATAATCAATGAGCCAATGCTCTTCCCAGTGATCCAGCCTATATGGCTGGGCTCCTAAGAGAAGCTGTTGATGACATTATGCCAGATGGACTGCTGGTGTTGAGTTGCAGTTTGTGGCGATCAGTGCGGTAACGACGACTTAGGCTTTTTCATGTGTGCGTACCCCAGACTGCGAGTACTTGATCCGGCACATGTTGGTTCTGGATCCCAATCGGCGCCTCTCCATGGAGCAAATCTGCAAGAACAAGTGGATGAAGCAGGGGGACCCCGACCCCGAGTTCGAGAGGGTGGGGGCAGTGCCGCCGGTCAATAACACGCGCCATTGCATCTCCTACATCACCACCCCCTCCTCTGCTTTGCACATGTGACTGTTTTGGTTCTGCCAGTCATTTTCTGATGTCGTTGGCCAGGCTTTTCAGAGGCGTTCGGCCAGTCAGATGGCTCAGTGACTTTTAACGAACGCCTTCCGATTCACTCTGCTCCCCAGCTGATAGCGGAGTGCGAGCAGGTGAAGTCGGAACGGGAGACGGAGCTCATCAACGAGCAGGTGTTGATGGCCATGGATGACATGGGGTTCAAACGCGAGGAAACGCTTCAGGTGAGGCCACTAGGGGGCACTGTCAGAAAACTGAGGTTACTGCCATGTCTTGTCCACATCTTGTAATACAGGGAAAAACAGTGTGTGATGAGATCGGGTGCATCCAGAATTGCATACCTGTGTGCCATGTAGTAAGAGAAACATAGATTGGGATGTAAGCCGTAAGTCCGAATCTTCGGTGTAGATAAGACAGTAGGCGAGCAGTTCCGAAGTGTCTAACCGATGCTACGCTATCCCACAAGGCCTCTGGAGTACTAACGTTGCTTGCTCGAAATTTTTTGTCAAGATGGCGGAGGAAGTCCTGTCTCAATAAATTTAAGTAGAAATCGATACCCAGTAACATAAGTTTACTCTAAGTATTCTTTTTTGTTTGTTTGTAATTTTGAACCGTTTTTTTTTTTTTTTATCTTTTGGGGGGGGTCAAGCTATGTTATTGGTAAACAAGTAACACGCAAGGTGGGGGCTGAAGTGTGTCCGAGTGCATGCATACTGTTCTCGTATATACATATACAGTATGTACTACATTAATGGTTGAGTAATAGATCTCTGGCAGTGTTCAGTACCTACTGTCTGAGTATGCTGTTTCACTCTTTTGTGTGAATGCCTCCCCAGTCACTCCAGACAGACGCCTATGATCACTGCAGCGCCATCTACAGTCTGCTTTGCGAGCGGCTCAAAAAACACAAGACGTTGCACTTTAAGCCTCCTGGTCCACGGGGCTTACCCATCCCCCTCAGCAATGTGCAGGTTAGGGCTGCGCGATATATCGTTTCAGCATCGTCATCGCAATGTACACACGTGCAACAGTCACATCGCAGGATGTGCGATGTTAAGTAACGCAAATTAAATTAAGCAGCGTGGACAACGCTTTTGGTGTTTTTGCTAAACTAACAAATGTCACGCTGTTCTTATTCTTAATCCACAAAAGTCTGTCATATAATTTAGGTTAATTTAACGGTTTTTGGATACAAGGCCGACGCGCAGCTTTGCACCGGCAGCTAACAAACATGTCGATCACAGAACAAACCACCAATCACAAACATTCTCGATCCCAGCGCTAACCATTTAACCCAGTACTATTTTGTCACTCAAGTTAACTCCCATATGCGATAAGCTTCCTTAGTTTAATGCTCATGCACTGTTTAGTACTGATTAAGTAATCATTACCTTTATATTTGGGCAAAATCAGCTCTATCTTTCTAGAATGATTAATTATACCGATAGAGCAGCGGTCACTAACAGGCGGACTGCGGTCGGTGTCCGAACCCAGAAGCTGTCCCATACGGACCCAGACCGATAGCCAAAACAGAAAGTTATGATTTAAAACCTGATGGGACGCTTCTATTTTAACCGGCGCAGTTTTTGTAGTCTTTTCGGTAGTGGTTTAGCAGTAGAACCGCCGTTTCCCACGCCAGTGAACATCAAACGCCTTTGACCGCCAAGCAAGACGTAGTTCGGCGTATGCAGCTCTTTGTTTGCTAATGTGTCATTAGTGTTAATAGCAGCAGCAAAGCGACCAAAAAAGCCATAATGTTCCTAACAGAGTGGCTGTTTAATAACAGCAGCGAAGCTAACACCCACAACCAAAAAGCCGTAATGTTCCTAAGAGTGGCTGATCTGTCCTAAAATCATACAGCTGAAAAGTTTTCAAATACAGTATGTATTATATAACATGTTGGATAAATAGACGTAGTTTATTGGTAATTTCATGTTCGTGGAAGTTTCCGCTTTTTAACAACTGTATAAAGTAATGTTATCTGTTATATAAATCAACTCAGGTGAAACAAAAATTGTATGTTTTCAGCATTTGGCACGCCACTCAGGATTTCAGACTCGCGCAGGAAATCTTATGGCAAATCTGTATTATTCCATTATAAACCTAAAATAAGCTATGTCAAAAGTGTATTTACACGGTTAAATACAAAAGCATTACATATGTTACATATGTATGCCGACATCTCGAATTGAATTGTATTGAATTAACTTGATTTGACAGTCAGGTACTGATTACATGCAGTGTTGATACAACTGATAGGCTACTTAAATATACATCACACTATATAGTAAGACATTATGATCTTCTGGAGCTTTGCCTCGAGAAATTTCCTCTAACTGGACCTCTTTAAATTTTAGTTGAATACCCCTGCAATAGAGCTATTGAACTAATTAGATTTTTTTAAAATACCAATATCGCAATATATATCGCAGAAAGAATAAATATTGCAACGTGATTTCGCAATATCATGCAGCCCTAGTGCAGGTAGGCATCAATCAGCACCTGTAAGACATACAGACACCCAAGGATTATGCTGCTGTCTGACCTCTTCTTTGCCCCCCCCCCCCCAGATGGATGGCCCGATCCTGACTGTCCCTCATGTCCAATTAATCAACCCAGAAAACCAGATTGTAGAGGTCAGTTATGGTCTGCACCGCTGCAATTCATATGACACTTATTGCAGAACATTAGATTCATTTGTCCTGCAATTTCAAGCTCCAACACATATATGTTTATGGGCAGCTCATATATACTTAAGAGATTATTTGATTACTAAAATCACATAATGCTTTACTAGGGTATTTTCGGTCACCTAATACAGTGTTTTCCAACCCGGTCCTCGGGAAACCCATAGATGCTCTCCCCTTGCTCCCTGCCAGACGGTTCACATTTTTGCTGCTGAGCAAAAAAACATGGACTGTCTGCAGGTCCCCGAGGGCCGAGTTGGGAAACACTGGCCTAATAGGTGCAAGTTTTTCCAAAAACACCTTGACTCATCTCTGTAGCTTGGTATTTTGCTGGAGGGCCCAGTAGCTACCAGGTTCACATTTCGTTGCCACTCTGTACGTGTGGATTTTGCTTATTCTCCCTGAATCATGTGGGTTTCCTGCCGCGGTCCAAAGACATGCAGTTAGATGAACTGAGGGTTAGGGCTCTGTGCTCCTGAAGGTTGCTGGTTCAAATCCCGTTGCTGTCAAAGGGAGGCCTGCTCTCTGTTTCACTTACGTGTCACTAAATAAGTAACTGAAGCTAAATAATTAAATGTAAATATCAGGGCCGTCCTAGAACTCTGTATTCTTAACCGCTTCATCGCCTCATAGCATCTTAGTTGTGGTGTTAGATATGAAGGCCTTGGGCTTTTTGTCAGACTTGGCTGAAAATCTGCTCCCCCGACGCTAACCCCCCTCCCCTTCCTGTGTCCAGCCCATCCGAAACATGGCCCTGGACAGCGACGAAGGGGAGGAGCCCTCGCCGGAAGCCATGGCACGATACCTATCCATGCGGCGGCACACTGTGGGAGTGCCCGACCCCAGGTGCCCCCGCGCCCCCCTCCTCATCCTCCACTTCCGCTCTCTCCCCATGCTTTCCGGTTCTTTCTCAGTAACATGGGACATTTGTGTGTCAATCTGTGTTTTGTAAATCTGTGTCCTGTGCTGCTTCTCCACACACGAACTCTTGCTGTTTTTTGGTTTTCTTAATGTTCAGATGCCTAGAAAATGGGTCCCCACAATGTGATAAAAACCTGTAACATTTCACCTTTCGGGAACATTTTTTTTTGGTCCCCACAAGGGTAAACTTCATAAAAATCTGAGACTGCAGTCAAAAAACTAAAAATGCCTGAAGTCTTGTATTTTGCTTGGTTAATAATTTGGCGTGCGTGCGTGCGTGCGTGTGTGTGTGTGTGTGCGTGTGTGTGTGCGCCTGTGTGTGCGTGCTCCTCCATATCATTTCTCCAGAGCCACGCTCGCCCTTCTGCTCCCGCCATATTCCCCTGTGTCGGCGTCTCTCTGTCCGCACTGTGCCGGCTGTGTTCTCCACGTTCCTGCCTCTGTGCTGACTTCCCCACTCTCCTCTCCCGCAGGTCCGACCCGCAGGAAGACCTCCCGAAGGACATCGACCATCTCCGCATGGTCACCCCACCGCCCATCCCTTTCGTTGCCTTCGGCAACAACCACATGCTGGTGCCCCCGCAGAACCTGCAGCCCACACAGCAACTGGAGTACAAGGTATGGCCTTTAAATTAAAGGTACAACAGCAGTGCTCCTTGGGGAATAAAAAAAAAAACTACCAATGCAGAGTCAGTATTTCTCCTATGAACACATTAAGTGCCTGTGCTGACCCCTGTCACCCGTGTGTGTGTAGGAACAGTCCCTCCTGCAACCCCCCACCCTACAGCTGCTCAACGGCATGGGCCCATTGGGCCGGAGGGCCTCAGACGGAGGCGCCAACATCCAAGTGCACGCCCAGCTGCTGAAGAGGCCGCGCGGCCAGTCCCCGCTCGTCACCAGCCCTGTGAGTGTGCGCATGCGGGACTGACTTTCCAGGCTTCCCTTGACTACTTACCTGTTTTGTTGCTGCCTTTTATTCTTTTATATTTTCATCAGTAATCTTTATTTCCTATACCGAATGACATAACCATACATAAAAATCCAGACAAACGTACACGTCTCAATAAAAAAGGTCTCCATTTTCAAATAAGTATCATTCTGTGAAATACGTCCTTTTTAAATTAAACTAAGTGGGTATGGCAGTATAGCTAGCCCTAAATAATAAACAGTATAGCTAGCCCTAAATAATAATAAAATTAAGTTTCCCGGACATATGCAATATATTAGTAATATTAAGACTCATTAACTTATAATAGGGGCCCAAATATTTATAAAAAGTGACTGTTTGCCTTTCACTGTGTATCTATTTTTTCTGAAGGGCGTAGTCACCCCATTATACCATTAATTAATCTTCAGTTTGCTGCTTTTTCCAGAGAGAGTATTAACTCGAGCTGCAGGTGGAGATGCAGTGGAGCAGGATTAGCACGCAAATTTCCAAAAAGTAGGATGGCATGGGAAGGTGCATTAATATTCATAAAGGAAGTACTGCCTGATGAACTTTGTGCTACGGTGATGATCTTTGCACGAAAAAGAAGCCATTCTGTTTTGCTAGCCACAGTAGCAGTGCTCGGCTAACTGGCTCAGCTAGATGCACGATATATCAGTTAACGTATCAGTATCAGCCAGTATGCGTTAAAAATCAAGATATCAGTGTCAACCTTGGCCAGTATTGCCTGCTGATATTTAAACTTTATCAATATTTAAAGCTAGCAGCATCAGACCTAAAGCCATTAAAATAAAAAATATTAAAATAATGGAGACGGTTGGACAATCAGATGTTTTCTGTAGTGGAGGACGAGGGATTTCAGCTCGTTCACTGTGTATAAGAGGTCTTAAAGTACCGGCCTGTGACATGTTTATGAAATAGAATAATAAAAAAATGATGGAAAGGCATTCCAGTAATCTGAGCCGACAAGCTCAGCAAGTTTCGCCTCCCCCTCGTCGGCATGTGGCTCAGCAAGTCTGTTGGGTTTATCACGCGAAAATATAGGTTATCGGTATCGTTCAAAATTTTCACATTGGTGCACCCCCAGTTAGCCTGCGTGAAAGGAACCGGTCAGGTAGAGCTTCGTTACGTGTTTAATTTATTTTTTTGTACTGTTAGTTAGATCTTTTTTTTTTTTTTTACAGTTTACACTGGCTTGTTCTCCCTGTTCAGTAAAAAAAATACGAATGTTCTGAGATTCTACTTTCTTTGTATTCCATTAATAATGCATCATTTTTTTCCAGTAAACTTAAAAAAGGTTTTTTCAAAATAATCAAGTAATCTGTTAAATAGATTGAATCGTGATAGAAATGTAAAGATTTCTCCATCAAATCGATTCCTAAATACAGTCAAACCTCAGATTGCGAGTGTTTTGCAAGACAAGCAAAATTTTAAGATAAATTTTAACTTGATAAACGAGCGAGGTCTTGCAATACGAGTATTATGTATACGCTTTGTCTGCCGAGCGTCACGTGATCACTGAGCCGATGGTTCTCTCTCTTGCTGTGGGATTGTGGGTAATCGTTTCCCATGCTTGGTCTCAGTCAGCTTGCCTCACTTGTATAGTCAAAATTTAGTAGAAAAGCACCACCCGAATAAGGGCGTAGCAGTGCGGGCGATAAATCTGTTTAACGACAATGCAATGTCACATTTCCGCGAAATCGGTTAAAGTCGCACAAAAAGAAAAAGATTCCAGTGAGCCAACAGATAGCAGTGATTCCGTTACTTATAGTGAAATAGTGAAAGTTGTCCTACAAAATAACCCTCCTCTTCTCCTCTCTCTCGTCTCCCTCACACCATCCACGATTGTTTTCAAAGGTAAATTGCAGGTTAATTTGTTTTATGTATTTTTACTTTATATTTTGTATTAATCATTTTTTGGGTTGTGGAACGAATCATCTGAGTTTCCATTAATTCTAATGGGACAATTTGCTTTGATATACAAATGCTTTGGATTACGAGCATGTTTCCGGAATGAATTATGCTCGCAATCCGAGGTTTTACTGTAGTCGTAATCAAATGGAATTTTCTTGAGGGCAACGATTATATCAGATTTATCTCTATTTACTTTGTACCCAGAAATCATTTCACATGGATTAATTAGATTTAGTAGGGTTGGCATCAAATTTACCAGATTTTTCATAAACAAAATAATTTAATATAATATAATAATATTACCTGACTGACCCTGTGATCTGATCCAAAAATAATATCATCCGCAAATTATATTTGATAACAAACAGTAAAGGAGAAAAAGGGCACTCCTGTCTACATCCTCGTTGTGTCTCGAATGCTTTTGACATAATTCCATCGGCCATCACCTCTACGTAAGGCTTAATCTATACAAGTTAGTTGTGCAAAAGTTATTTACATAACTGAAACCGTTTACAACCTGAAATAGATAGGGTCAGATGCATTTAAAAACTGCAAATTGAAGAGTAAACAAATACCTCAAATTGTTTACATTAAAGTAATTTAAAATGACAACCAACTAAGAAATAATTAACTTCATCAAAGAAGTAAATGATTTGTCAAATATGAAACTGACAGAAATGCATCTCCAGTGCGTCCTTTGGTAGTTATTAATTTCATTATAACTTGACTGTATCCTGATGAGCACATTTAAAATTGGTACTGGAACCCAAGAATATGCATTGGATAGTACAAAGTTTCTTTCAATCCTTTCATTAAATGTTTTGTAATTTTTACTCAATGTGAATAAAGTGCACACATAATGTTCCATTGACAGATCTATAGTAACACACTGCATGATATCTTGTTGCTGGCACTATAGCAATATCATATTGTTTTGAGAAAGGCAAGGGCTTTGAACATTTTATGGCTTCAACGCGCACGATGAGGGTTAATACTCCTCTGTATAGCTAGTCTGATTCCCCCTCCTTCTAATCAATCACATCACCATTAGGCTCTTGAGTAATACCTTTAAACATAACTACTCCAGCGGTGCTGAACACTGACTGACCCTGTGATCTGATCCAAAACTTAACTCTCACTTGTGTCTCTCTGAAGATCCAGGTGTGAAAAAGTGTTTTTGACACAGAGATCAATAAAGTACAACTATAATAATTACAGTGCTCTCAGAAAGTCTTGAGATGCTTGCTTAATGTTGTTAAAATGTTGCAAATGTATTGGTTTCATAACAGAACTCCATTGACAAGCAATGTTTAACATATCTGAACATGTCATCCGCACAGACATTTTCTGACCGTTTTTTTTTTTGACTGACTCATTCAGTTCTGTTCTTGCCCTTTTACTATTAATTGTAATTGTAGTCACTGGCTCCCAAAGGGATACTAAACATCAGTGTTTGGTGTTTTATGCTAGTGTAAAGGTGTTACTAATTAAAAAGCACCCAGTGAGACTGGTTGTCAATGACCCTTTTAACTTAGCACAGCTCTTTCAGAACTATAATTTGGGTTTCAATTTATTACTATTTGAAAGGAATGTTTTATTTAAAACTGTTGGTTAATTTGTTTCTAATGTGATAAATGTTTTTTGTAAAGAAATGAATAAAGTAATAGATTTTTGTTTATAAAACCAACAAATTTGCAATATTTTGTCTGAATTAAGCAAGCGTCCCAAGACTTTCTGTGAGCACTGTAATTATCATGCAACGTTAGCTAGCTAGCTGGATAGCTGTTGTGGGATTACTATATAAAACAATTTTTGGCAGAACACTCATCCAGTCGTTGGCTGTCGACAAACTGATTTTGCTAGCATTACGTACTTGTTTGTTTCCTTTCCAGATGTCGATAGTAATCGGAAGTTGTACCAGCTACCTCAGTAATCGATTTCCAATTTTTGCATTCCACAGTGTGCTTCGTACTGGTTGTCTTTCACAGAAACTCCTTATGGTTTATGTATGCCAAACGGATAGGTGTTGACTTGACAGACATCATTCAATCGCGAGTGTTTGAGTCAGGACTAAGTAAGAATTCACCCAAGTGTGTGCCAAGATTTATGATATGTGAACTCGAGACTGGACTTGAGTACTGCAACTTTGTTCAGATTGCCACAGCACTGTTTCCTTGAAATTTCTGTTTTTCTTCTCAAGATTCAGAATGCTAGCCTGCAGTGAAATTAAATCATCCTCCATTGCCGATATGGCAGTCTCTGCTTGGTTGACTATGTGCGTTTGTTTATTTCTCCATGACTCGTAAAATTCCATCCAGTCTAGAGGAAAAGTCTGATTTCAGGTTAATAATAGTGGCCAGTATCACTTCTGTGCTGTCATTCGGTTTCTCTGCACACAGTGAATCGCCGCTCACTCCCTCATCCTTGGCTACTGGTGTGTTAGCTTTGCTAGTGTTAGCTGTAGCGCTAGGGGCCTGTATCGTGAACCAGGATTTCTTGCTTAGCCGGATAACTAAGCAGACTGTCAGGCAGTCTGGGCTAAATGTAAGTAAGCAAAGATTAAGTCCGTTTAAACTGGGGTACCTTAAATCTGACAAGTTATCTGGCTAAGCAAGAAATCTGGCACCAGGCCTTTGTGTGAAGCAAAAGAAGAAAGTTTTGGTTGAGATGGCTTACTGGAGCTACTTACTAATTTCATTTTTATTACAAGCATTCCAACCGACTGCTGCATTGATTAAAAACTGCATATCGTCTCAAAAAATGAGTTCTGACCTGACATTTGCAATAAAAACTAACCAGTCTGAGTAAAATGTGTCCAATTAGCCAGTCGCCATTATCAGAATCATTCCCTTGTTTTTATTTTTTCTTCCTCTCCCACACCACCCTCTGTTTCCAGCACCCCATTCCAGCAGTCGCCCCCGTGGATGAGGAAGGCTCAGACGGGGAGCCAGACCAAGAGGCCGTGCAGAGGTGAGTGCTGTGGTGGGCATTGGGGTCGGCTGGCTTTTGGCGCATAGGGTGAGATGTAGAGGAGCAGGTTGCCTGGGTTACTGGGAGTGAGTGGATAGAGGCTGCAGTACTGCTTTCTGCCACAAGAGGCCACTGTTATTGTGGTTCCTCTTCTTTGGCTTTGGCTTTGATGTGGGAATGGAATCAACTAATGTGTTTCCTCTGGCGAAAGAAATCTGTGATCTGTCAAATTATGCCAAATTAACTCAAGTTTCTTTTGCACACTACCTGCTGTTACTTCAGATGGGAGGTGTGTTTTATGCCCCCCCTCCCCCTGTGCCCCGAGATAAGATTCGGCAAAAGTTGTGGCACCCCCTTGTGAGACCCAACTTGATGTCAGAGAGCTGATGAGTGAATACTGCTTCCTGTCTCCCTCCCTGCGGCCCAGATACTTGGCGAACAGGTCCAAGCGGCACACGATGCATGTACCCCTGAGTACGGCGCCTACTGAGCCACCCCCAGACACGCAGAGGCCCCAGGGGGCCCGGCAGAGGGCCTGGGCCCAGGAGCAGCACTGCCGGTGAGGGGGCCCCACCCAGCTGAAACGGCACATCGCCGCACGCCCACTGAGGGGGAAGGCGAGAGAGAGAGAGAGCGAGAGAGAGAGAGAGAGCGTGCACACTTGCTGAGGGAGGGGCTCCTCCCAGAGGTCCTAAGGCCTGCCAGTTTCATGTTCATTTAACATCAGAGGGCTCAGACTTAGGGAAAGACGTACTGTGTGATACGGGGAGCTCTGGCCCGGTCGTAGCGACGCATAGAGATGAGGCCTCTTCTCCTGGGCATCCTTAGAAGCTGCCAGCTGGTTTAGAAGGATAAATGGATCAGACTCTCTGACAGACAGACGGGGTCGGGTATTGCTGCTCGACCCACGCTTCTTGACGACAGTTGGCGTTGACGACGACGTCACCGCCAGCCTCCCCCTGCCCCCGCGCCTGCCCAGCATGGCTTGTGTGGGCCGGTGGGGTTGCCGCCTCGCACTCAGTAAAAGTGTCCGTTTGTGCGTGTTTGTCTGTTCGTGTGTGTGGGTGGGTGTGTATGTGTGTGCGTGCGTGCTACGCCCCCCCCTGTGCAGGTCTAGCTACAAGGACTGCAACACGCTACACCTGCCCATGGAGAGGTTCTCCCCAGTGCGGCGCTTCTCTGATGGGGCCACCTCCATCCAGGCCTTCAAGGCACAGCTGGAGAACAACAGCATCCTCCGGCAGATCAAGCAGGTACAGAGGTGTCCCGTTGCTGTTCTCCGAATAGCCTGTAGGGGGTGATTGGGGACAACCTGAGCAAGTGGGTTGCTAACGGGGCTTGATAATTATTCTGCTGTTTACATTCATCCCTTTGCTGTCTGATTCGTATTATTATTAATACAAAGCAACTAGAGGATGTGGGACCAATCAATCGGATGTCTTGGTCCCACCTTCTCCACAATCTGATTGGTTATCTCTCTGAACAAATCATTTTTCCTTCTGCCCTCACAATATTTTTGCCTAAGTTAAGCACTTACCACGAGCCATCCGGTAACAACTATATGAATATGGCATGCCACACCTTCTTGGTGCCCTTACCCCCCTATATGTTTCCCCCACTTTCGCATTCCTTTAGGAGTGTGAGCAGCTGCAGAAGTTGTACTCGGCGCCGCAGGATGAGAAGTTCCTAGAACACACGCAGCAGCAGCATGTCTTGTACCAGCAAGAGCAACAGATCCTACACCAGCAGATCCAGGTCACTCTCATTTGCGGTCATGGGTTCTGTAGATGCAAAGGTGTCTGTAAAGGCTTCACTGCCTCCAGAGGATTATGGGAGCTCAGAATAGGACAATGGGGGCAGAGTTGTATTGACCACGAAGAACAGTAGTGTCGCGGGTTGACGTTCTCCAGGCTGTGCCGTTTGTTTTTGTCTGGAGTAATTTTTTTACCCAACATGCTGTGCGTGTGTAATGTCTGACCTTGCATGCTCTCGTCAGCAGGGCCTGTCTTTGGGACACGGAGAGACGCAGCCCAGCCACCTCACTCACCAGCTCCAAAGGTAACTCCAGAGCTTAAACCCCACGAAAAGGCTCGGGTTCCTCAAATGGTGAAAATCAGTTATGATCATACACATTTATTTTGCAGATTTACTATAATGTGCAGAAGTCTAATGCAGTCACAGAAAATGATGTCCATGCTGGTATAAAACTACGATATTATGTCTTCCGAAGTGTGTCAGCTTAGTCATGTTAAAACCTCTGCTAAAGTCACCCCAGTATTTGTGGCAACCATTCAATATACCCATGCATTTCTGAAGTCGACCACTAACACACCAGGGGAATCACGTAGCAGGATTTCTTGCATAGCTGGATAGCTTTTTGGATTTAACTAGTGCTACCTGTAAACAAAGATGAAGCCCATTTAAAGTGGGATACATTAAATCTGACAAGCTATCTGACTAGGCAGTAAATCCAGCTTTGTGATCCGGGCCCCGTGTTTGGCTAATTAATACCTCTTCAGATTATTTAGAGTAATTAATTAATTAAGTTAAGTGAGCTGGTGGTGAAATGTAACAAATAGATGGAACACTGAAGTAATGTTCTTCTAGCTGTCCAATAAGGTATCAGTAACTTTTGGAGGACTTAAGAAATTCTTATTAGTTTTTACTATGTTACTGTTAATTTGCTATGTTCTAATGTTAAAATGTGTTTAAATTGTGTTTTTTTTCTGTGCTAATGTACACTTACTACTCAGATAAATAGCTTTCAAAACGTTCTTTGAATGCCTAAGAGTTCTGCACAGCCCTGTATTGTTAGATACTATTGAGCCGTGTTTTGACAGTCAAATGTGCCTCAAATTGTTCAGCCTCCCCTTATTGGCAGCCTCTGCTGAAGCTGATAGACGTTCTTGTAGTTCTGTCAAGTACCATGTAATTGCTCTGAAATCCCTTCTAATACTACGCATTGTCTTGAACAACGATTGGTGCTTCGTCGCCCGTATTCCTCACTACGTTTTCCTATGAGGCATAAAGCAGCGAAGCGTAATTCTGACACCTCTGCTGTCAGATCTGTAAGCTGAGTCGTCTCCATCGAGCCCCCGGTCCCCAGTGTTGACTAACATCGGCCGTATCAGTAATAGGAGACGACTGGAGGAAACGTATCCAATCACAGCTAGATAGCTACACCATTAAAAGGGTCATTCTCACGAACTCATTACCGCAAAACACCACTCAAAGGCTTATTCTCACAAGCTTATTACCATAACATATCACTTTTCTTTACTTTCTAAAACTTGTTTGAAGACCGACTCAAATTATACAATGCCATTGTGCAATTTTTTTTTTTGAGTTTTGCCATTTATTTCTGCAATAAGTATTTCATCAAATTCAGGATAAGAGTTTGAGTTTGAAGTCTGGAAACGAGAAAAATGACAAAGCTAAAAGAATTTGAGCAAATAATTTACATCTCATTCTATGACTTATTGAGGATTACATGCAATAAAGTTGAAAGATTAAAAAACATTTATCCATTATTGTGTTGTTTGATCTTATCTTACCGTAATGAGATTTTTGCTAGCAATTTGGGGAAAATGCTTAAAAAAGGCAGGTTAAGCAATGACAATTTTAATATACCTAAAACATTAAGTTCATGACTATTGGTCGACACAGAAGACAAACACTGTATTTCATGGCAACATTTTCATTCTGAAAAATTCTCAGGTTTGTGTGAATGACCCAAAAGGGGAAAAAGAGCCCTTAAGAATGCAAATGGAATGGTAGATGCATATCTATTTGTAGCTTCTCTTTTTGTAATGGGCATTTAGAGAAGTTTGCGTGGTTTGTCCTAATTAGGCTTCCATAGTATTGCCCAGTGCCGTCCCACTCTGACATGCCCGTGTGTGTTTCTCTCAGGTTGCGTATCCAGCCGTCAAGCCCCCCCCCAACACATCCCAGCAATCATCTGTTCAGGCAGCCCAACCAGAGCCCCCCCCCTGGCAGTACAGGCATGATGCAGGGCCATGGTGAGCCCCTACACCTCATCCTTCTTTTACAGGCCCCCATTTCGCAGGAAAGAAAAAACGTCATCGCTCTTCCGTGTCTCTCTAACTCCCGCTGCAGGTGGGCCGTCTTCAGCGCAGTACCAGCATGGTGCCAGCCTCTATCAGACCCCTGGTGGTAGCCCCCCACCTACCAGCCTCCCTCGCATGGCACTTCCCCAGCAACCCCCCGGCCTGCCCCGCAACGTTGGCATGGCCCAGGCCGTCCCCCAGCAGCAAGTGACCATTCAGGTTCAGGAGGCGGAGCTGGGGGGCGGGGCCCAGCGCCAGGGCTTCCTGAACACACCGTGCCACCGGGTGCTCGGGAAGCAGCTGAGCGCCGACAGTGCCGAGACCCACAGGTGACTGGCTGTACTCTGACCACGCCCACAGATGGGCCCGCCCCCATATCCCATCATCCTCTTTTTCCATTCCCCTTCCACTCTCCCTCACTTTGGACAATTCTTTCTGTATCCATACTTGTACATTCCTGATTTTTTTTCTTCTCCCATCCTCTGGATTTTTATACTATTTTTCATATTTTCTTTTAACTGAAATTCATGTAAAACACATTGCCTGCATGCGTGTCTCATGTCGCTGCCGATGTTCAGGAGCGCAAAACGCCTCCTTGCTGAAATGTTCTGTAAGCAACAGGCTAAAGCTGCCGTGAGCCTAACCTGACGCGAGACGGATTTTAACGGTCGTGGTCGTCATGCGTGATTTGCTCATCCATCCTGTTTCTGAATGGACAGCGAGGGCCATAGTTCCTACATTACTTGCGGTTGGAAAGTTCAGGTCATGAATGTTGAAGTGAATGTTTGAGAAGAAAAAAAAAACAACTTAAAGCTGAATCATCCATCAGTTCTATGAAAAATATGACATCATCAAATGGCCACAAGCTTGCCCCCCCCTTCGCAACACTCAACTAAATCTATTCATCCTGGCCACTGTCAGCAAAGCAGGATGCCGTAAGTTGATTTCAGCTGCATCGTAAAACTAGCGGATAGCCGGACTTGGACTAGAGCTCCCTCTACTGGGCCATTCAGGTCCGACAGTCTTATTCATTCACCAAAACTGGCCCGCTTCGGGAAGGATCAGAAATGTAGTTTTCTGTCCTCATTTTGAGCACTTACAGAGTTCTTCCTTTAATAAACTACAAATTAACCTCAGGAGGTGCTGGTTTTGTTGAACTGCTGCTGTAGCTAGTAATTTCCCTCACCTTCAGTTTTCAGTGTATTATTGTAGTCTTACTGATGTCTTTTAGTGTAGCGTTTCTCAGCCCAGTCCACAGAGATCCCCAGACAGTCCACATTTTCGCTCCCTCCTAGCTACCAGCCAATCAGGAACGTTGAATACCCGGTACAGGTGTGCTGGGAATCTCTATGGACAAAAATGCGGACTGTCTGGTGGTCCCCACAAACTGGATTAAGAAATGCCATTTTATTAGACTCTCCGTTGGAGGCGTAGATGTAGGTAGCCCGCCTTTGGCCTTTACGCGGGTGGGGGGGTGGATGTTGTGCTCGGCTGCTGGTGATACGGACGCCGGGTGGAAGTGACTGGGGGTGACGGATCTCGCTCTTTTCCTTGCCTTTTCTTCCACAGTCGCAGCCTGAGCAGGTTCAGCTACACCCCAGGCTACGACCCAGCCCAGTTCAGTCCTCACCTGCTCGGGGAGGCTGGGAGGGGGCCCACGGGGGGTGGGGTGGTGGGTGGGTATAACCCCTACCTACAGGCCACTTCCCTGAAAGTGCCAGGGCTGGAGGCCTACCAGAGCGGCGGCTCGGCAGCAGCCGGGGGCTACGGCAGCCCATCAGCCCTCCAGCAGGCCCTGCTGTCCCCCACGCCGCCCGAATACCGGCCCTCGCAGCACGTCACGCCCACCCTGCAGGGCCTGCTCTCCCCCCGGCACTCCCTCAGCGGCCATGCCGACCCCCGGCTGCCCCCGCAGGACTTAGCCGCCCTGCTGAAGCGCCAGACGCCCCGACCGGCCCCCCCGGCCGCCCCCGCCGCCCCTGCCACCCCCCAGGACTACAGCGACTTGCTGCTCCTGCGCCACCTGAGCCCGGGCGAGTCCCTGGAAGCCCCGGCCCCCCCTCAATACCACCACCTGCTGCAGATCCGACCCCCCGAGTGCCGGCCCCCGCCGCTGCCCCATTCCGAGAGCATGGAGGAGGACGAGCCGCCCGGCTACCACGAGGGCCTGCTGGCCAAGGCCGTGGCCTGCGGGGAGGGCCACGAGCTGCTGGCACCCCCACGGGACAGTACGCCTCCCTACAGCACCGGTCCGCACCGGCACCCTTACCTGCACACTGCCCCCGCAGCCAGAGGTTAGACTGCATCCCGGCATCCAGCTGTCTGAAATCTGTACCTCACTCAGCACTTATCACAGACACACCCATAAAGTTTTTTATTACCCTAACAGACTGATTTATGCAGCAGGAGATGTGCTGCAGGCTGGTGTTGTGCCTCAGTAGGTGACATCGTGACCTCGCTCTTCCCGGCCCTGGCCCTCTGTGTGTGGAGTTAGCTTGAATTCTCCCTGTGTTTGTCTGCATTTCCACCGGGCACTCCGATTTCCTCTCCCAGCCTGAAGAGATCAGACCTAGGCCTCTGAATCACCCTTAACCTGTAATTGTGTGTGTAATTCTGTGTTCTCTGTGATCCCCTTTTGCCTGGATGTCTCTGTGAAGTAATTATCAAAGTAATTAGCGCTAAAGCACGTTACTCGCTGCTAAAACCGCACTTGTAAACTATAGAAGATTCAGATTCAGATCTAGATTCCTCTGTCCTCTACCTCATTGGCTGTAATCTTCTTAATAACTATTTCCCAGAAAGGTCTTCCTTCCTTAATAACTGGTCCCACAGCTTAAGTAAGCTTTTGCTTAGGATAAGCTTAGCACAGAACGGTGTGTAATCATTTCCCCTCAGGGTACTGTGGCAGACGCCATTGTTCTGCTTTTCATAACACACCCACATCCTTCTGTCTTACCTGGATTCACATGCTTTACTTAAAGCCTGATAGCAGTAACACATTAAAAAGCGACAGATGTCTGTTTTTCTTTAAGTACTACTGTCAGATGCTGTAATGATGGGTAAATACCAGTGATTCTGCTGGAAACCCAAGTGGAAATTGCCTGGTTTATCAGCATTCCATTAGATTAGATTAGATTTATTGACCCGAAGGTAATTTGTTTTAAGCACTTCATCAAAAGCAATTGCTTTTGATAAAAACAAACCACGAATAGCACACAATACATGAACATTTGTCCTATACACAGGAAATCCATAGACTCATAGTGTCATAGACTCTTCCACATTCACTTCATTTAACACATCTTGCAGCAAAATTATAAGACAGCTGCACCAATCAAGAGATGTGTATCATCCCAGGTATGAATACAACTCGGCAAGCTTGTTATCAACCTATTCATGCTAGTAGATGCCATTGGTGAGGCTCTGTATAATGCAAACTGTCCATATGCAGCGTTGATTGCAAGACAAGCTTGAGTATCCATCAATATGTTCTAATCAGCCAGTAGAAGAAGGACACTGAGCATGGAGCTGATAGCAGAATGCACTGGGCTCACCCGAGATGGGATACCAGTCTTTTACAGGGAACACAGATAAACAATCACACGCTGTGGATATTATAGAGGATCCATGATTTGTCTTTCGACTGTGGGAGGAAACTAGAGAGCCCAAAATATACCCGCAGAAACCTGGCACGCACATACAGAAGGCACACGCACACACACATAGAGCACACATGGGATTCGTGCTCCCAGCCAGGAAGGTGTGAGGTGCTACTCACTGGACCACCATGCCCACCCGGTTATATTCCAGCCCTTCATATTCACCCCTTCATGTTTGTGTGACCTACAGTCGGAAGATCCCCGCAAATCTGAAAAAATTGTAAATAACACTTGGTGCCCATTATTAAAAATGCTAAATTAATGGAACTGAAAAGTTTAAAAGTTACTGTAAGGAACTTGATATGTGGTCTGCCCAAGCCACTTCGCACTCAGTCATTTTATTTGTTTGTTTGTTTGTCTACTTATTACTTTTTTTTTTTTAAACAAAAAATGACATTAAAGATATAGTGTGCACTTTATATAGTTAAAGATATAAGATTAAAGATATAGTGTGCAACTAACAAATATTAAACAGCACTTATTTATATATCATATGATTTTATGTGATCCAAGTCATTTTCAGTATTTATATATTTTTGACGTGTTGTCTGTGAGTTTCTGCAATCTTCAGACAAACTCTAAAGATAATGCCATTTGATTCTGAAGGGCCGACCGTTTCCGTTCCCATCAGAGGTTTATAAAAAGTGTACCATTTACATTTTTCCTATTCGGCAGATGCTTTTGTCCAAAGCGATGTACACATTACAGACGGCACATTACAGACGGCACATTACAGACGGCACATTACAGACGGCACATTACAGACGGCACATTACAGACGGCACATTAGACGGCACATTACAGACGGTACATTACAGACGGTACATTACAGACGGTACATTACAGACGGTACATTACAGACGGCACATTACAGACGGCACATTACAGACGGCACATTTACAGACGGCACATTTACAGACGGCACATTACAGACGGCACATTACAGACGGCACATTACAGACGGCACATTACAGACGGCACATTACAGACATACACATTGTCAAGGAGTGAACTAGGCATAAGTGCAGCTAGGAGCTATACAAAAAAAATCTAACAGAGCAAGAATCTAATAGGACTGTTCTATTACCCGAAAATACAAATATTCAGGAAGTTAAGAGGCACTGAGGTAGTATAATAGCAGGTATGTGTTAAGTAATGGCTGTGCCGCTCTTGCAGACTCCCCTGGGAGCGACCACGTGGAGTGTCTGCCCTCAGGACAGGTCATGGAGCTGCCCGACCACAATGGCACCAGCTATATGACTCGGGCTGGTCAGGGCGAGGGGTACCGAGCTCGTGGGCCCCTGCAGCGGCACCATACCATCCAGACCTGCGACGACGCCTACGTGAGTGTCCATGCGCCTCATGGGGCGTACATGCCGCGTCTCCGCCGCGCCGCCCCTCGGCCCCACCTGACACCGCCTGTCACGACCCGCCCCCACAGGACCAGGCCGAGCCTATGAGCGGAATGAGCCTATTGGCTGGGAAGGCGCTAAGCTCCGCCCGGATGTCTGACATCCTCAGCCAATCGTCTCTCACAGGAAGCCAGCAGCTGCACCACAGGGAGGAATCAGGTAATGTGCCCCCCATGTAGCCCCCCCCCCCCCCCGCATTACTTCACTGATGTAATGAACTCGCTGTCATTATTGTAATGTTTTGTACATTTACTTCAGCATTCCTTGCACTGACAGGCACTCCTGTCCTTTAAATACATTGATCATTGATATCGGTCGAACTGTATGTGATCGTCTTCTGTTAACTTTGCATGTTTCTACTGTAAGTTTTAGTTTTTCAAGTTTTATTTGTCACATAAACAATCATACACTGTATCACAGTCACAGGTACAGTAGAGGCATGGGTACCCTGGCAGATTCAGGGGGCTCAGCACTTAACAGGGGGCCTTTAGTGTGCAAAACTACTCGTAAAATTGTAAGGAAAAATATGACTAAAATAACAATACTAACATAATAAATAAAAATAAATAAAGTAGACTAAAACAGCGAGCAGCTTATCAACAGCTGAAAATTTGAAAAAGATACACAATTACAGTGGGTTGGTGAAAATGTAAAGTGCAGTGACTCGTTAGCAGTGGAAACCATCTGTTACATTTAAGAATGAGAGTCACTGACAGCCGGAGACAGATTCCCTGTGCATGTGAACATACTTGGCCAAAAAACCTTCTACTGATTCGTATTCCTCCTGATTCGGATTCTTCTGGATTCTGATTCGCCTTGATTCTGATTCAGATTCTTCTTGATTCTGATTTGTCTCATTTCTGATTTGTCTTGATTCTGATTCCTCCTGATTCTGATTCGCTGTGATTGTGACTCTGCTTGTTCTCCACACCACCACTCCCACTGCCCCCTTCTGCCATTATAGCGTGTGACGTAGAGGATGAGTTTCACACAGCTGCCTGTTACCCCTCCTCCTGCACCAGCGATATGCTCCTCAGCCTGAAGCCCCCTGACCTGCAGTACAGCATGGAGCAGGCGGGAGTCTAATGCAGGTCAGTGACCCGCAGCGTTCCCTGCCACCGTTAACCTGCACTTGCCACTGGCGTCCATATGGCAGCTTCTCAATCCGCTCCTCTAGTCCATGTTTTTGCTCAGGCTGGGAGGCTGTGAGTGAACAAACACATGGACCGTCCAGGGGTCCCCGAGTACCGGTTTCAGAAACGCTGGTCTAGATCTTAGAAAGACGGTCCAAAAGTATGCTAGAGAAAACCCAAACCCGAACTCGAGAAAAATCCTAGTGCCCGCATTACGTATTTACTGGATTCTGATTTTTTTAACACAACATTATAAACGTCATTTCTTTTGTAATCTTTAGGTCCTTTACAAAGTATTTTTATAATCTCAAGCCACAGCATCTGGCTAAAATAAAATATATGCCATCTTCAGCCTAGTGTTGATGAGTGTCCATGAAGGAAATATTGCTCATCATTTTAATGCTATAAATTTGTTATAAACACAAAGACTCCAAGACGGCAGCAGCTTCAGCAAGGGAACTAAAATGGATTAAGGCGTAATGAAATCACACTGGATTTTTGGTCTATATATGAAATAATAGACCAGAAAGTTTTATTATGTGAGGCAGGTACAGATCACTTACAGTTACGTAACTGTATCATTGCTCTAAAGACGAACTGTATTCTCTGCCTTGCAGTTGCTGTAATAGTGGGGGATTGTTGTGTCATGCGAGTCCTTATCCAGTGTGAATTTTTAATCTTTGTGTTTCTCTCCCGCAGGAGAATCCCCTGGTGTATAAAGGTCCATTTCAGCCACCTGTGTTGAGCAGCATCATGCCAAACCGCCATTGTCTGTCTGGAAGGGGGGGGGGGTGCCGTGTCAATTCAGGGGAGGGGAGAAGGAGTCCATGAGAAACCATGGAGGGCTGGGGGGATAGATGGGGGCTTGATGGCACAGAGTGGTGGGGGCATTGCCCCAGCATTCCATACAGCCACCCTGGGGGGGTGGCCCCCGGCTCTCTCCATCCGCCCCTTCATCCCAGGGGGGGCTGTCATATTCTGCCCTTGCTCCCCATTCTCCCCTCCCACCTCACTTCCCACCCCCCACTGTTGACGCCAACCAGCTGAAGCGGCGGGTCGACACGGCCCCTCCTCTGCTCGTCACCGTGGCGACGTGCCGAAATCAAAGAGGCGTTGACTCACGCAAGCATACTGTACGCACTCACGCACGCAGGCACACACACCGACAGACAGACAGACAGACAGACAAGCACACCTCAGAGTATTCACACCAGGCTTGTGCTTCTCCCTCCGCCCCACCTCCCCTACCTCCCCCCCGCCGTATCCAAGTAGACCATTCCGGAGCAGGCTGTGTGCTCAAGGCCTATGGGGGCCCAGGCTGAGAGCAGCATGTTCCATGGGGGTGGCGGGGTGGTAATGTGGGCAGGCCTTAGGGGTGAGGTTAAGGGGGGACGCCTCTCTCTCTTTCTCTGTCTCTGTCTCTGTCTCTGTCTCTCTCTCTCTCTCTCTCTATCACTCTGCAAGAATAGAAAAAATACAGTTGCTGTCCAGTGACAAAGAGACCGCGAAACTTTCATTTGTTCAGTCATTCTTTTTCTGATTTTTTTTTTTTAAATATGTTTTTACTGCTAATGTTCATGTAGGAATTATGATCATTATTGTTACTATTATTGTTATTACTGTTTTCCGTACAAAAAAAGTTTATTGTTATTATGATTATAATGATAATTATTAAAGGAAAAAAAAACATTCTGTGTTGCAAAGAAAGTGAACATTTTTGTTATGTTGACTTATGTAATTCTGCACTTTTGGTTCAAGCGATTTCTCTCCCTCTCTCGCTCTGTCCTCCCAGCCTTTCTCTTTCTCTTTCTCCTTTCTCACCCTCTCCTCTCTCCACATCTCCTTCCTTCTAGTCACCCCCCCCCTTCTCTGTCATCCTCCTCTGTCTCATGCACACTTAGGACCCCTCCATCCCCGTTTTCCCCTCGTTCCCTCGTTGTGACATGTGGAATTGTGGGTAGTTGTCAACTGACTTTCTTTATCTTGTACAGAAACGCCATGTATAGACCACAGTGGCAGTGTCTGTTTATATCAAATTTGTTTGTGTCTGTGGGGGGGCATTTTTTTTTGTTATATTATTGATATTATTTGTATGTATGTTTTTTTGTTTTTTTGCCTAAAGAGGAGAATTTGAGGGGGATGAGGCAAAAGAGATCCTCTTCGTAAGAATCCATAAGTGATAATTGTTGTTCTTAATGATTTTTGTTGTCTTAATTTGTATTTTTTTTGACACTTGAAGTGGAGGGTGTAATTCGTAATCATTTCAATGATCTCACTTGTTGATATCACTGGCGTGTGCAGGGCAGCGTTTCACCTGTTGTGGGGGGGGTGGGGCGTGTATTAAATGGGCTTGTTGTCTGGGTCGCGGTGTTTGATGATCATGATGATGAGAACCAATCAAGATCGTGGTCCATGGTAGACTGTTAAGACCTGCCCACCTGCCTGGCTCTCTCCTCTTCCCCCACTGGTGAACTTGGTCTAGTAATCGTTCCACCCTCCCGCCCCCGGGTCCCAGCCCTTATACCTGTAAGTCAGCTTGTCATTTTTTCCATTACCCGAAAGATGGACTGCCGACTTTTGCTCAAAAATCGCAGAGGACTGTCAGGCTAAGACACGCCCCCTCGTCCCTCCTGCCTGCGCGGCTCTGCTCCTGTGACGAGGGCCCGCCTCCCAAACTGTGTCGCCAAACTGGTAGGCCTTCGCTCGGCTCCCCTCTCCGCCATGGCCGCGTCTCCCCCCAGCCCAGCCCGGCTACGCCGTCACCTCTCCTGCTCGCTGGTGTGTCCCGTACAAACTGGAACCCTCTGGAAGATGGGCATCCCCGCGAAGGGACACTGGAAGCTGAGCATTCATCCACGTCCGCTATCCAGTGCGCAGCTGCTGTACACCAGGTGGTGCCAGCCCTGTATTTCAGAATGGCCTAGGGGGTGGGATTTGAACCAAGCCTTTGTCAGGTTCTCCTCGTCTGGGCTACCCCCACCTCGCCTTCTGATTCGTTCCTTTTGTCCCTGGGGGGGCGTGTATGTACCCTGTCTACCCCCCCCCCCCCCTTCTGCACCCGCTCTGTTTCTCGTTCTGTGTTTTGTATGATGTCCCCCCCCATATTCTTCATTATTTTTGTTTTGTTTCGTTGAACTACGAAAATACTGAAGTGCGACAAAAATACCAACCAAACTAAGATTAATAAATATATATAAATAAAGTAATAATTGAAAAAGTAAACGTGTAAAGTGAGTCCCAAGCCATGTGTAAGAGGTGAGCGTGTGCGTGTGCGTGTGCGTGTGCGTGTGTGTCCACGTTTAGTGTGTCGTGTGATGGTCCTGTTGGGTGTAACTGGAGTAAAATGTGAAATGACGCTTTTACACTAATCACTGTGCTCACGATCACTGTACACACTTGGCAGAAAAGAGAAAAAAATTAATTGAATGCGCAGATAATTAACAGTTGTGATATAATGAGTGAGTTAAGTGATGGCCATGTCAACTGATTTTTTATTTCCGAAGAAGAAAAGTGGCAATGTGAAAATGTAATGTTGTCACTCAAATTAAGGTATTGTGCTCTGTATGGACAGAGGTTGATATGAAAGGTAAATTGAAAAGTATTACAAATATCCTATATTATCTACATTCTAGAGATATGTAATTTCCTGTCAAGCCAATCTTGTTTATGAAAGATGAAAATATGTGGAAGATATTGTAAAGGAAAAACTGTAATTTAAATGAATGATAGTAAAAAAAAAAAAAAAAAAGGTAAATGATACATAACCATCTGAGATAGCTTTGTGATTTTAGCGTAGACCGTGTCCTTCGGAGCACAAGTGCTGCACAAACGGGAAAATGATGTCGTCGTTCCACCATTGAAATTCTCCTTCCTCACCACTGCACCTCTCTGGAAGCAGCTGCTTCTGCCTGTTTAAATCTGCACTGCAGTGCCTCTTCAGGCCAAAGCAGTAGAGCCCCAGGTGTGACCCTGTGAGTTTATCTGTTAAAGGGCGGAGGACGGTGAAAGGAAATTGCTTTCCTGATCCCCTGGGCCTTGACAGGCAGCTCATCCTCTCCGCAGCCCCCGTGGTTGTTTATGGGTCATGGCTAAAGTTAGACGAGAGCGGAGCAGCCCCTCCGCTCTACACCCCCTCCCCTTCTTTTATGAGTGTGTGGCACCAGCATGACTGCCTGCGTCAGCTGGCCGGGATGGGAAGTGGGTCGTCGCATGAAGGAGAAGGTATGCGGGAAAGTGGGCAAGCAGAGAATCTCCCTCTGTAGAAGGTGCACAGGTAACGCACCGCAGACGGGGTCTGGCGCAAGCCGTAACTGTGAGTATGTGTGTTCATTTATAGTAAAGCTTGCATAGTGTGTGTTTTGTTTTTTATGATCAGCCCTATTAAATATGCACCTCTTTCATTTGTTTACGACCGCGCCAACTCCAGCCCTGCCGATCATTACTGCTTAGCTTATAATTAGGGGAATTGATTTAATCTTCCTGAGTGTCGGAATCCTTCAGGCTGGCAGCTTGAGTCCGCGTTTCAGTTCAGCCTCATTTATTTCATCGTTTTCACGCAGGACATCGGTTCCCCCTTGGTAGAACCGCACGGCACATGATACCGTAAACAGATTTCACTTTGCGGCTGAAGCTTTGACAGGCTTGTTTTTTTCCAACGATGCTGGCATAGGGAAGCTTTATAGCATTCAGATTCCAGGAGAGCCATTCGGGATTGAACTCTTTGTGTGTGAGTGTGTGTATGACATCCTTGTCTTCCTATATTACGTGTGGTCTGTCCCTGCAGTGTGCTGCCTCTCTCTGACTGCCTGCCCGCTGTTTTGCTCGTGTCCAGCTCGTTATGTCCCGTCTGCCTGTCTGTACGTACGCCTTCTTGCAGGTTGCTGAGACCCGCGCGTCCCTGCAGAACTAGCTATGCTGCTTCTGGGTCAGAACCGTGGCCTCACCTTGGCTGTTCTGTTTCTGTACACCTGGGCCTACTTTCCAACTGGTGAGGAGCCGACGTCCTTGTATAAATGCACGTGGACGACATCGCCGAAATATTTCATTGTATGGCAAAGAAGGTTGCTACTAAATCAGGTTCAGATCTTATTTTAAGGCATATTTAGCATTTTTAAGTTGTCTGACACTGTTCCCTTTCGCCAAACGTTTAGATGCGATTGGACCCGCCCCTAAAATTGATGGGCAGATGCACTCTGCACTGACACTGAAGGAGAATGCCACCCACCACTTTAACTGCCAATCAGAGGGCTTGAGCACTGGAGATCCTCCCCTGCTCACCTGGTACCTGAATGGGGAGAGGCAAACACACCCAGGAGGCGATACTGTGGACCAGCTGGTGGCGGCCTCACATGATGGGCCGCGGGCGCCGGAAGGGGGATCCACGCAAACTAGCACGTTCACCCTACATGCCAGGAAATGGGACAGAGAGCTGGTGTGTGTGGCCTCACACCCCCAGACCGGCAGGAGCTACAACGCCACGGTCGTTCTCAACGTCCAGTGTGAGTTGAGCTCCGCAGCTTCACCTGTTTCTGAGGAGTCTCAGGTTCTGCGCCTTGGATTTTGCAGGTCTTCGCAGACCCTCAGAGTCATCTGCCTGCAGAGTCTGGAGGTTCTAGCTTTGCTTGTCTGGGTTTGCTCTGGGTTTTCCAGCTGCCTTTCACAATCGACAAATATATGGTTCCTGAAAACTGGCACATCTAAATTCGAGTCAGTGTCTGCCTTCTGAGGGACTAATGTGCACGAATGGTGAACTTCACCCCATGGATTCCAGACCAGGTTCTGGATTTCGTCAGTCCAAAATGAATAAGGATGTTACTAAAAATCATTCAAAAACAAACGGTCCATCTATATTCCATACCCACTTCTCCTGTACAGCCTGCATCCTATCCTAGGAAGCCAAGGGCAGGAGGGAACGCAGTGGACAGAATGCAGGTCCATCCCAGGCCATGTGCTCATACCCTTACACAGTGCCAGCAACTGAGACCCTGATTTGCTTTAACAATATTTTTGTGTCATGGGAGGAAACACACAAACACACGGAGAACATGAACTCCACATACACACAGCCAGAAGTGAGATTTGAACCCCGCACCTATTATGATGTGTAAGAGATTATTTATAGATGTGAAACAAATGAATGTAGTTTAACAGAATTGTTTTCTCTAAAATGACCAGTAGTGTGAGTGTGAGCCCTACAATGGCCTGGCATCCGGTCTGGGGTGTCCCCTGTCACGTGCCCTGTGATAGGCCGGCATCCGGTCTGGGGTGTCCCCTGTCATGTGCCCTGTGATTGCCTGGCACTGGTCTGGGGTGTCCCCTTTCACGTGCCCTGCGATAGCCTGGCATCCGATCTGGGGTGTCCCCTGTCACGTGCCCTGTGATTGCCTGGCACTGGTCTGGGGTGTCCCCTGTCACGTGCCCTGCGATAGCCTGGCATCCGGTCTGGGGTGTCCTCTACCACGTGCCCTGTGATGGCCTGGCATCCGGTCTGGGGTGTCCTCTACCA